GTTGGTTTAGGGGGATGTAAAATATTTTGTGTATTAGATTTATCAGGGGCGTATCAGCAATTAGAATTATCACAGGAATCACAGGAGTACTTGACAATTAACACCTGGAGAGGATTGTTCAGATATACTAGGCTAACATACGGTGTCGCGAGCGCGCCTTCTCAGTTCCAAAGCATAATGGATCAAATTTTGTCGGGATTGCCAAACGTAGTTTGCTATTTGGATGATATACTTATAGGAGGTTTTTCTTATGAGGATTGCCAGAAAAAATTAGAGTTAGTGCTAAAACGTTTGAATGAATTCAATGTTTGCATCAATATAGAGAAATGTAAGTTTTTTCAGCCTTCAGTTGATTATTTAGGTCATACCATATCCTGTCAAGGAATTAAGCCTCAAAAGGCAAAAGTGGAAGCTGTGCGAGAGGCTAGACCTCCTAAAAATGTCTCTGAATTACAAGCGTATTTAGGATTATTAAACTATTATCATAAATTTTTGCCTAATTTAAGTAGTGAATTACATGAATTGTATAAGCTGTTACGTAAAGGAGAAAAGTTTGTATGGACAGCTAAGTGTCAAAAAGTTTTTGATGAAAGTAAACGTCTGTTAGTCAATAATCAACTTTTGGAAATATATGATCCAAATAAACCCATAGTAATTTGTGCAGATGGGTCTCCGTATGGGGTAGGTGCTGTGTTATCACAGGTCGTAAATGGTAAAGAGAAACCCGTGTTATTTGCGTCAAGTTCATTATCGCCCGCAGAAAAGAATTATTCACAACTACATCGCGAAGCTTTAGCGATAGTGTTTGCAGTTAAAACGTTTCATAAGTACATTTATGGGAATAAGTTCACCTTATGTTCCGATAGTCAAGCTCTCCAAGAAATATTTAGTCCCAATAAAAGTACATCGGTGGTGGCGGCATCACGGTTGCAAAGGTGGGCAGTGTTGTTATCAATGTATGAGTATGAAATTAAGTATCGTCCGTCTAAGCAAATGTGTCATGTCGACGCGTTATCTAGATTACCTTTGGAAGTACCCACGGGAGTAGAGAATATTTCTATTAATAGATTAAGCATAATTAGTGATTTTGATATTAGTACAGAGGATATTGCCAGAGCCGTACAAAATGATTCCTTATTGAGACAAGTGTATAAGTATACATGTGAAGGATGGCCAAAAGATAAAGTATGCGATCGGTTACAATACTATTATAAGTTACGAAATAGTATTAGTACTCAGGATAAATGTTTATTTTTCGGAGATAGGTTAATAGTGCCGACTTCGCAGGTAGAAAATATTTTAAAGATTTTGCATAAGGATCATGAGGGTATAGTTCGTATGAAACTAGCAGCAAGAAGTATTTTTTGGTGGAAAAATATGACGGTAGACATAGAAACGGTTGTAAAAAATTGTGATATTTGTGATCAAACAAGTAATTTTAGAAAAGAACCGGTGGTATCCGGTTGGAAACGTACATCCAGACCACTAGAAAGAATACATATAGATTTTTTTCATTTTCAGCAACATACGTTTCTCATCATAGTTGATGTATATAGCAAGTTCATTGATGTTCATATTATGAAACGAACCAATGTAGAGGAATTGATCAAATATTTGCAAATTTTTTGTTCACGTTTTGGTTTGCCATTCGAAATTGTTAGTGATAATGGGCCGCCATTTAATTCGTGGAAGTTTGACTTGTTTGGGAAAGAAGATAATATTAAAATTACGAAAACACCACCTTACCATAGTCAATCGAATACATATGCTGAGCGTAGCGTACAAATAGTAAAAAAATATTTGTATAAATACTTAATGGATAGGCGGTTGTCAAAGTTTACGATTGATGAGAAAGTACTGAGGTTTACGTCTGCATATAATAGTACACCATCATCGGTGACAAAAGATTCACCCTATGACAGGATTTTTTCTTACAAAGTGAGAAATGTCGCGAATTCGTTAAATCCTAGGTATGGTAGTGTAAACAATAGACTTAAAGAACAACATGTAACTGTAAACGTAGGTAATAAGCGTCATTCGCCCGTAAGAGAGGTTCCTAAATATTGTAAAGGGGAAGAAGTGTTGTATAGGAATCACTTTAAAAGTTATATTAAGTGGTTACCAGCTGTTGTGGTTGGTCAAAGGAGTCCAGTCGTATATGTAATTAAGCTAAGGGGTCAAGTTAGAACAGCACATGTAAATCAGTTGCGTTACCCTAGTAAACACAGTACCATGTACTACGATAAATACGGTAAGATACTAACGGAAACTAATAAGGCTTTGGAAAGGCCAGGCGGCGAAGACGAAGTAGAGATACTTTCACCAAGGGGGTTACTTAGAAGATCCGAGCGTACGAGAAAGGCTCCTGATAGGTTTACGTTTAGGTTAAGTCGTTAAGTGTTATAGTAGGTAGGTTATGAATGTATGTTTTTAATAAAAAGCCGGAAAGTGTTGTGTACGTGTGAAAGGGCCTTAACCGGGTTGGTGGAAGGTAGTTGAGGTGCGCATGCGTAGGACGGGATCGGTAGAGATAGTTAGTTTTGTAATGGTGGATCAATGTGTAGAATCTTACTCTTAGTAATAAATGTGGATAGAAAGGAAACGAGATCTATGAGAACCCACACCCAGACATAATAGAAGTATCGACATTTAATAATTGTGTTATTAATTTTTTTGAGTGAAACAGTGTTTTCTACCGTTAGCGATGACAGTTTCGTAGTAACAAGTACGGACTCAACAAAAGAAGAATCTTCAACATACTCAAACGTAAGCTCAGTTTTTCAGTGTTTTATTGCTAATTTTAAATTGTATAGAATATTCAAGTTAATCCCCAAATATACTCTATGCAAATAAATGCAAATGTGACCAATCGATATGTGAGAACGCTTATCAGAAGCAAAGTACGAAATTTGATGAAAAAATCAGAAGAAGCAACATTCTCTGTGATATTGCCTGAAAATGCATTTATATCAGAATTTGAAATGGAAATTAAAGGAAAGGTTTATAAAGCGTATGTAAAAGAAAAGGAAGAAGCCAGGAAAATATATCAAGAGGTTTGTACTTAAGGATTATTGTTCTCCTTTCACTTTGGTTAACTTAATAATAATAATCTGCAATAGGTACTTGTTAAAAAAAATTCTAATAGGAAGGTGTGGTTTATCCTATTTTTTTCTAGTAGGGCTAAGCATGATTTAAGTCATTGTTCGTTTATAAAAATATATTAACAAATTTATTATATGTACTTGAAAAATTTAACACACTGATTCAGTTAACAGAAAATTCGATTAATATACCAAATTATGCCGAGGGAGCTATGAAAACACGATCAAAGACAGCCATGGATTTTTGAAACTTTATCTTTGATTGTTGCATTTTCAACTCAACTCAGTTATTAGAACTACTTTATTTCAGTGTAGACCTGACCCTGATTAACAAACAAATATATTCATAAAAATGGGAGAATATGCTTTGTGTCCTATACCACGAACTATTCGTGTTATTCAATTTATATTCATATATGTAAAATTTTAAATATTTTTTATTACTAAAAATGAATTAAAATAGTATATTACATATCGAGGGTGGTAAGAAGCTAATTACGAACGAAGTTTACACACGAGCGAGCGTAGCGAGCGAGTGATGTAATATGAGTTCGTAATTAGCTTACCACCAGAGTTGTGTCATATACTTTTTCTACGATCTATAATGAAGGATCACTTTCAGAAGAATTTTTTTTTGGGAAAGCAAATATTTATAGTTGCTATGGAAACTACCCAAACAGGCACGTAATATATATATATTACGTGCCTGTTCATTCATTACATGCCAGTGGGTGTAACTATGGTTTTACTATGAGGCTAGACAGTTCGTAATTCATGGATTACTATGTGGGAGTAGAAAAAAAAACTTAGTACCTAGTTACACCCAGTACTCAATTATTTACCTCAACAGGCTGTATCAAGTGGTCAAAGTGCAGCTCACGTTGAATTGAGTGCAAGAGATTCCAAAACATTTACAGTATCAGTGAATATAGAACCAGAAAGTAAAACAATATTTAGACTTGTTTATGAAGAACTTCTACAGCGTCGGATTGGACAATATGAACTTGTCATAAATGTTCATCCAGGTCAAGTTGTTAAAGATCTTGGAGTTCAGGTACTGTAAAATTTAAAATTTATTGCTGTAAATGATAAATTTTGTGTAATTAATTCAAGGTTTACATTAATGAAAGTAGACCTCTCACATATGTAAAAACCCCTTCTTTAAGAACCGGCAATGAAATAAGCAAAAACGATGAAAATTTGAATCCTTCCGCACAGATAGATGTTATTAACAATAATTCTGCGGTTGTAAAATTTAGTCCTGACATTAACCAACAAAAAACATTCGCTGAAAATCTCGGTGGTAACAAAGAAAATGGATTAGCTGGTCAATTTATAGTTCAGTATGACGTAGAAAGAGATCCTCAGGGAGGAGAGGTGCGTATTTTTTAGTCTACAGATTGTTTTATTTCAACTGTCAAATAACTTAGAATTATTATTATAGTTATATTATCTACATTTTTTAAAGGCATTATTCATGTTATGTGATAGTTAAAAGTATATATTTTACAACTCTGCCACTTCATTATGTCTAAGCAAGTTATTAAAACTTTTCTTTGAAAGATCCTGGTTAGAGATGGATATTTTGTACATTTTTTTGCACCTTCGGAACTGGAATCCTTACCAAAACATGTGGTCTTTGTATTAGATCATAGTGCTAGTATGACTGGAAGAAAGATGGATCAACTGATTGAAGCAATGCAAAACATTTTGCCACAACTAAAATCACAAGATTTATTCAACATAGTACGATTCGCTGACGACGCTTCTGTGTGGAATTTTGCAGAGAATAAATTTGTTCCCGTACACATGATTTCACGAGAGTACGGATTCCTTGAACAACATTTGAAGGTATTTTTTTAATGTTTAAAACACAAGACTAAAGAATGAGTTTAGGAAGCCAATTTACCGCAAGCGGCAAAAGCTACTAACAGAAATATAAAAAAAAGCCAAAAATATAGTGAAGAACAAATCCGACATGGGTCTTACTAATATAATAGCTGGTTTAGAAATAGGTTTGTTCTTGATCAAAAGAACACAAGAAAATACTCCCAATAAATATCAGCCAATACTTATATTTTTAACAGATGGTCTACCGAATGTTGGAATGGATTCTCGGGATGAAATTACCAATACAGTAACATAACATTGGAGACATCTTGTTAAAATAATAAGTGTAACATTTTAGGTAACCAAACTAAATTCAGGTACAAGCCGTGCGCCAATTTTTTCTCTTTCTTTTGGTTCTGAGGCGGATAAAAATTTCTTACAAAGGTTATCTTCGCAAAATTTAGGATTGTCAAGACATATTTACGAGGCAGCTGACGCTTCCTTACAATTGCAGGATTTTTACAGTACAATTTCGTCACCTTTAATGAGCAATATTACCTTTAAATATATGGATAGTGTGTCAGATGTGACCAACGTTCGTTATCCAATTCTTTTTAAAGGTTCTGAATTAGTTGTAGCTGGAAAAACAGGTAGATACAGAAAACTTTATATTGTCTTTGATTCTCTTCTCTTTTAGGAGAAAATTCCGATCTCTTGCCTCAGGTTTATGGTACCTGTACTACGGGACCTATGATTTTTAACACTACTCTTACAGAACCTGTTAGTCCAATAGAAAGACTTTGGGCGTATTTGACTGTACAACAAATTCTGAAACAAAGAGAAACAGTAGACAACAAAACTGAACTTACAAAGAAAGCACTCGATTTGGCTTTGAAATATTCCTTCGTTACGTCTGTGAGTTCCTTAGTTGTAGTTAAACCAAATCAAACAGAGGCAGTCGACAGTGAAACCGCAGCAGCAAAGTCATGTAAGTCATGGAAAAATTAAATAAAGCACCAAATTTAACACTTTTATTACAGCATCAGAACCTTTTAGCTTGTCATTACCGGGGAGCCCTAGTCACTGTAAGTATTTATTTAAAAATATGTATTTGACATTTAAAAAAACACACAAAAAGAATGTTTGTCGCATTATGAATTTTCTGTTAATTATAAATTTCTAGACAGTTTGATACCTACGTACTTTTTGGTTCAAGAACTGTAAGTAATTGTAAAGTCATTGTCGAATCTAGGTTCAACAGTTTATGAAAATAAATAAACATGATAACATTAAGGTAAATATCTACAATAAATCTGTATAATGTTTTCTCATTACAGTACCACCAGGGTCTGGACTTTTCAGAAATCCATATTGTAAGTAAAGGTGTTGGTTATTCTTAATAAATTACTATTTGTATGCTAAATGCTAAAGGTTAAAAGCACACACATAAAATTTAATGCAGATGCTTATGATTTTAATCGACTGATTGAATTATTAAAATAATTTCCAAAGAAGTTTTTACGTTTACAGAATATACTGTAAACTACGTAAAGGGCAATTCAAAGAAAAAATCCACTTTGAAACACATGACAGAATTTACTTGTGGATTTTGCAGAAACTATGAATCATAAAAACTTGTGTAAATTTTGTTTTTTTCTTTGTGTTATTAATTTCACGGTAAGGGTTATCAGAATAGGCATTCCTTATTCAGTAGGTATACAAGACTTTATCCACAAATTTTAATGACTGCTAACTGCCAATTATACAGAGTAAATCGGTCACTACCTTTTAGATTATAGGAAGGATTCTAAAGACCAATCAAGTTTTACATTCAGTTACTTACTATGGATCAAAACGTTAACTGGGGCCCTGGTGATCATGTTAACATTTATTATGCTTGACCGTCACACCACCGGACCACCGGTCTCGGGTTTGATTTCCACTTAGCCTTGTATTTGTGTATCTGGGTTTGGTTGGGGTGTTTTAACGGAAAAAGTAAATATATATTGTACATGGTGCAGAACTCATAACACCAATTCCACAAAAAAACATTTTATTTGCACAGAGAAAGTCACTAGGATGTTGAAATTTTCTGCCATAAACAGTTTAACTGTACAGTCACTCTAAATAACAGACAATTAATCTAGTAACGGCAAACAGTTAAAGAAGCAACAAGACTGACTGTAGTGACAGTTGAACTGTAGTCTGTGGTTGAACCAGCAATTAGACTAGACAGTTATTGAAGTGTTAAATTGTGGTAAATAGTTCGTGTTGCTTGACAGTTATAGTTAGTGTTGCTTGACAGTTAAATTGTCAACAATCCACAGCAAACATGCCAACTCCATTGAAGCAATAATCTAGCACTGTAATAATTTAAATTTTTATTTTTTTTTAATTTAGAAAGTAAATTTGAAATTAGCTCTAAACCTATAAAAACATGCAGGTACTTTATTTTGCAACACGTGTTTAATATGATTGCTATTTACTTTGTGACAACCGTGCTTTGTTGTAATAATGATGGCATTTAAAAAATGTGTGTTCCGAGGGCTACAAGTTATAAGACGCAGTAACATTTTGACATGTGTTTCCTTATATTGACATCAAAATTAATTTAAACATCATTAAAACGTTGACGAATGTTGCAACGTGTCCATAAATGATTTTGGTACTTATAATAATGTGTTCGAGGAAAATAATTAATGAAAGAAGTACCAGAGTTACCATTGATGGCCATCATTTATAGACAGGTTTATTGAGGCGATTTTGTCAAGCTTAAGACTGGATTGTCTAAACTCTTTAAAACTCTTACCATTTTTCTTTTCATAGTTTTATTTTTATTTCAGCAGCACGTGGGTTTGCGAGGCGTCAGAATTCCGCTATATTCTACAATAGTAAGTATCTGAATTAGTTTTGGCAATACAAAAACATGAAATTATGAAATAAGTATAAGATTTCATTTACCTTCATTTACCCATGTACCGTACAAAATACTTAAATATAAATTGGTGATAATATTTATATCTTAGGAATATCATCAATACTTAATATTAAATAATAGTAGTATTATTATTCCATTGTTTCGTCAGGCTTTTCAAAGAGAACAAAATGGTGTAAGGTTATTTAGACACAACTTCCCTCCCCTTTTTTCGAAAAATTAGGAAATTTTGTTTTGTAAAGTTTTATTTATTTAAGCACGCCCTATTTAAGTTATACTGAAAAAGGGAAACATTTGGGTCAGAGCAGAAGTCCCAACGTTTTACATAATCTCCTTACCCTTCAAAGCAGTGATGGAGAAACGAGATATCACCTACATATAGCACATAGTACGTTTTTTATGTATTCATCTAGATATTTTGAAACCTTACAGTTATCGAAAATTTTGTTCTTTAGAATTCTGTATGCAGTTCCGATATTCAGCTGTAATAACAATTATTTTAGACAACAAATTCACTAAAAAAAACTTTCTGTTACCAATAAATAAACATGATTTCAGTTATCGTTCTCATAATAATTGGGTTAATATGCAAAATTTGTGCTCTTTTGCTTTGCTAAATAAAGTGTTTCTTGGAGTTTTTGCATATCGATAAAAGAAGAAAAAACTTCTATGAAACACCGTTAAACATCGACTCATGTTCTCGTTGGAGTTAATACAGGGTGTTAATAAATGATTTACATCTAGAGGGCCGTGAATACGACCAAAAAATTATCGCTTCTGGCAGTAAAAGTTGAGTATTGACATCCTCCATCAATTTCGTGTCCAGGCCGAAAATAGGCTTCTATAATAAATAACTATTCTTCTAGAGTTCACATTTTTCCGTACCCTTTGTAATTTAACTATATAGTTGACAGATTAATTAGTCCAACAAAAAATCAAATGGAGCGGTACATTAATAAATGAATTTCATAGTCCACTATAGATGTTTAATAAATCATTTATTAACACACTATACTTAAAATATCTTACAATAATTGTGATACAATAGGTACATATATGTATTGATTGTTTCAGTGAGGCCGAGTTATTCACTCGGACCGGGTTATTCATTCAACAACTACATGTGGACGGATGATGATGATATTAGTAAGTTCTCAACGATGCGATTTTAAACAAGAAGTAACGATTGTGTTACACTTACCAACTATTTTTCTGAGATCTTTACAATTCCTATAATTTTAAATATTAAAATTATAAGTATCCGGGAACATATATTTTCTTAGATTGAATTAGCAAATTTCGTGAGATGTGCAAATATAAAAAAGTCCCAGAAAATTCAGCCATTTATTTCCGTTATTTGAAAATAGGCTTGTTTAAAAATATGTGTGGTTAGAATAAAATAATTTACTAATGATATTTTCATTTTTATTCCTTCCGATTTAGCCGGAACTGTATATTTATCCTTGATAATTGTAATTTTGATCTTCATTTTCAAAACAATTTAAGTACATTTCAGGCTAAAACGAAAGTGGGAAAAAAGCAAAAATATCGTCAGTAAATTCTTAATAAACATAAAATAAAAAAAAATACTGATGACACTTTCACTTTTTTATCATATACATATGCATACAAAAATTCAAATTACCACGATATCATATATAACCGTTCCGGGACTTTTTGCACTCTTGTATAGTCGGCCCACAGGAATAAGAACCTTTGATTAAAGTTTCAAGTTATCTCAAAGCGACAAAGGATCCCGTCGAATTTAAGTAATTTTTGTCATTCCCAATTCCATGGTGGATTAATATCATCGCAGCTAGATGTTTAGCCGAAGCTGCTAACTTTTGCGGTAAATCACTCAAATCTGACGGGTTTAATGTAGACGATATCAGTGGCGGCTCGTGACCTTTTGAAATGGGAGGACACAATTTGATTGATGAATTAAATATGAAGATTGAACAGGTTGTTATTACCAATTAATAGACAAAATTGTGTGACGGAAATAAATACAAAAATACATTCAATAAAAGCAAAAAAGTATTTGTACATACACCTTTTTGCCTTCGGTCAAAATTTTACGTTGAAGGCATCTAAAAGTTAATTTTGGACAGTTTTAAACGTTTCTTTAAAAACGTCAGTCGTTGGATTAATCAGACCTCGAAATATACCTGGATTTTGTGTCCACGTAAAACAAGTTCAAACACTCCACAAAATTTTATGCATATAATCAATCGGCATAATATACATATGTATGGCGATTTTTGTCCACCCTTGCGTTATGTGCCCGAATATTATTAATATGGACGGTGTGTAGTCGTTTCCGAATGTCTGTATTATCGAGAAGATTTCCCCATAATATTTGTCATACGTGTTACGTCTATTAAAATATCTATGAAAGTCTGTCGTTTTGCCATGAATAATTTTTTATTAATAAATCCGGGCTCTCCGTAAATTGTTCATTAAAATTTTACACAGAGGACGAAATATTCAACCGAATTCATTATTTTTATTTAAAATCAAACAATTTCATTCGCGCAGCATGAAAATTAAAAGCAATCGAGTTACTGCTTCTGGGCACTATCTATACTGGACCCAATTCCATTCAAATATCGCACATGGACGCTAGGTTTCCATGGCAACGGTGTAAACAAAACGTCTAAATCAGCCATGATTCGGTCTCCGGCTATCATCAGTACTTCAACATATCATATGATATCCAACAAGTCACAACGTCTTTAGATGTAAGTTAATGTTAGTTTTGATACATTTTATATAAGTGGAGCGAGATAAAAAATTAGTTTTGATAATTATAATACAAATTTAAGTATAATTTTTTAAATATTGAAAATTACTATTTTGGTATGTCCAATGTGTTTGTAGACGTTCTAAATTGGGGGGGGGGGGGCACTCGCCCTTTCGCCCCCCGGCACCAGCCGCCCCTGGACGATATATCTACATTCTCTTTGTTCGTTTTATTCTTTAAGTGTGAATAAATATTTAATAAAAAAAACTTTTCAGGTGAATTTTCGCCGATGTCCAGAAGATTCGGTCGTAAGTATATGGACAAAAATTACAGTTCAAGCAGTTATAAAATATTCGCCTCAAAAGATAGATATCAAAGTGTTGGTAAACTTGTAAGCGTTTTGTCAACAGGACTGTTTCTATTAATGTAAATACAAAAAAAAAAAGAAAACGAAACGATCTTATTAAGATTATATTTGCTTCTGGCAAAATAATACAACATTATAAGCAAAATATACGTGTTAAATAATATAACATCTATTTTAAACTTTTAGCTTTGTCTAGATAAACACTTCGACAAATATTTTGTCTGTTTTCGATGTTGTGGGGATAATCATTTTATAGCACACCAAATGATCAATAAGATTCCTACATATTTGAAACATTAATTTTATCAAGAATCTTTTGAAATCTTATGTCTATTAAATGATTCTAGAAAATCAGGACCCATACATCCGTCTAAGAACTTCAAAATTATGTAAAAGATACATTTTAAAATGTTGTGTTTGTCTAATATGAATTTACAAGTTTACCTTCCCTACTATCATTTGACTGTCATATTTTTTTCTTTTTTTAATAATATACCTAAACCATAAGATCTAAAAATATTTTTTTCAGCTCGTCATCACACAGCTTCAAGTCGACGAAGTAAGTACATTAGCATATTTTACATTTTACTAAATTTTAACAATAATCTGCATTGAAACTGCCGAAACTTTTTCACAATCTTTTATAGATCTATAAAACAAAATTCTGGTGTTACTGACTTATGTATATACGTAAGTTAACCTTTATGATTTAGTTAACTACATTGTCGCCGTTGTTAGCACTATGAACTAAAAGAATATGTTTCTAAAAAAATACAAAAGGTAACAAAGTAATTTCAAATTTAACGTCTATATTTAGGACCTCCATCTCATCCACGAAGACGATCTCGCATCGGGCACACCAGGCTTTCTACATCGACAACTACTGATACATCGTTGACACAGAGTGGTAAATAAACTTATAGCTTATTTCTATTACACAATTCAGCTATCACTTTATACTCAATTTATACATATCAATAACATTTTTAGAAACCCTTCCGCAATGGCTCGAGGATCTCAAGAAAAATAACCAAAGCATTATAACATCCCAAGGTAAATTTCAGAGCTGCTTCGTTTTTGTTTAAATTTGTCATTTATATTCTATTGTGACTGATTGGTTGTGGAATCAGGTTCATTCCAGCTAGGACAAAAAAGTGTAGTAACTACTCGGCCCAGCTGTCCCTCAACTCCTAAGAATACTACTGGTATTTGTACAATTATATTTGATTGCCCGGAAGTGTTTACGCTTCTTACAGACATCAACGTTTACCTAAAATACTTCTGTCCATTGAATAAGTAAGAAATCTTCTTTGTATAATAATGAAACTATTATCAATATTCACTTTTAATTTTAGATACGCTGGAGTGTGTTGCCCAGTGAAAAAAGGAGCAACGCCCAGTGCATGATGTAATAATAAAATCAGTTCTTCTCAAAATTGCTGTTTCAGCAATGTACCTCTTAACAAATAATAGACACTTAATTAAATACAATTCATTTAACATTTGACGAATTTAAGAAAATGAAAACCATGTAAAGTAAAAACAATGGGCGATTATAGTGTTCACATTATTTGTCAAGTTTTAGTAGATGTGCATATGATTACTTGAAGGAAGATTGCTGTTCCAACTGAACTATTGGATCATTGCATATAGATACCCTACTGTACATATAGTTCAAAATAATCGTCTAAAGTTATTTAAACAGAACTTTCCTCGCTTCTAAAGTACAGTAGAACAAATACAGCTTCTTAGAAAAATAATACTTACTATTGTATTTTGCTATTTTTATTCACTCTTTTTTGATAACCCTTTATAATAAAGAAATGTATGATACTGTATACTGTTAATGTACAAGTAAAGAAGCATGTTATGCAGTGGCGTAAATAACTCCTGCAGCCCCTGCGCAGTCAATAAATACAGGTACCGACAATTCAGGTAATCAACGGGACAAAATATATTATCAGTACATGTATCGTATTATAGCCCCTAGAAATACCTTACGTTTTCTAGGGGCTATATATCGTATACCTATACATCCAAATAAAGTGACTATTAAGCACGTACCCAGCTGATTCACCAGAGTAAGCGGCGAATACTAAAAAAATAGGGCTAGGCGGTTGAAATTTATGCGCTGTGTATGGACCACTGCAGGCCAGTGGCTCGCAACCGATGTTACGCATCGCCAAGAAAATATGAGAAAACTAAGTTGATGATTTTAAAATCTATTATTATAATGATAATAATATTACTTTTAATAATTTTCAAGTGTCGCTCTCGCTGTAAATTATTAAATATGATGCACAATTGGAAAGCCAGAAGCGAGTAAGGCAAGGATGCACCGGCCGCACTTCAGACGGGTAAATAGGATGAATAAATCTCGACCGCCCAGCTTTATTTATAAACAACGACGTCGTAAACACTTCGCAATTTGACGTTTTTGGGCTAGGTTACCGTGCGTGATATTCGACGTCCCGCGTGCTGTTGAATGCGCCAAGGTCATCAAAAAAGGTTATGAGTGCAAAAAATGTATTTACAGCATATTATCAACGGGAATACATACATGGAAGAATGTTACGTAGACATTTGTTTGATTTGAATGAGTTTATCGCCCCAAAACAGATGACTAAAATTATTCATAAGCCTCAATTGAACAAAATATTCTGAATGTTATTATTATAATTCTTACCTTATCGTTATTTTATTGTTATAAAGACGAGCGTATTCCCACATTTTCTAGAAAATGGGGTAGCTCGTGCTTGATTTGATCAATAATAAATTGACCGATTCGTTAATTTTTTTGAGTCACAAATGCAAATCCAAAAAATATGAATGGAATGATAAATTACAATCACAGACTCATCATATTTTCCACACTTTGGATAGGATTTATTCGGGAAACTTTTGAGGTGATGTCATCAATTTTTTGGAGGGGACAAGTAAATATATTTTGAATAAAAACTTATCATGCTTATCATAACTGTAAACCATGTGCAAGATTTCAAAGCATTCAGTTTTGCAGATTCCAAATTAAATGTCAAAATGTTGTTTCCTAATTTTGATTTTTTTCCAAAAATCTGGACGTTTCGGGTAAAATCTCAATTCGGAGTCATAAACTACATGTATAAGACTATGCTATTTTGATACAATTGAAAACCCATTTACTATGTACAATTTTGAGGTGACGTCAACACATTAGTGGTGGGGATGATTAGATAAATTTTTGTTAGCGTTTTTCCAATCTACATGATATACCTAGTACAAATACAAAATTTGACAACAATCGGCCCAGTACTTTCTGAGATTATCTGTCTAATATAAATGGGGGACGGCAGACAAACGGACAGACGGACAGACAGACGGAAACGGGAGAACTATTTCTTCGTCCTCTAAGGGTCATGATAAGTCGAGAAAATGCAAAAGTAGAGAGTCAGCCGACGAACTCGATTACAATACTTCCTTTGCACGCTCGGGAAGTAAAAACTTATGGTAATTTATATAAATAAGCTAAAAAAACCCATCACGAAACGAAATCGATTGCGAGACCTGGACTTTTTAATAGGTAATGAAGCTAAATAAGTAGTGATTTTGTGTTGATTTGCTTACTACTTTTTTTAATATAAGAGGTTTGGTTGATATAGTAAGAGATGGAACCTGTGAAGATTGAACTGATGACAACAAAACAAGGTTTTATGAAACCAAGCCTTGATGTAAAGCCAAATAAACCAAAGAGTTAGGTAGTTTTGTCTAACAGCGACGGCCAATTTAATATTACTCTTTATAGAATTTATTGTTAAGAAATAAACCTATTGGTCTGCCCCGGTACAACGTCAATGCGTTTTCAAGTATGACCGGTGACTCATCATCGCCGACGGAGGCGTTCGAGAAAAGAAAATCTAGAAGGGGGTCTCCGGAAGTCTCGAATCAGCGATCGCGAAGTCTCCACAAGGAACGCGTGTCTCTTTAATTAGAAACCACCGTCGGAAGCGGTCAGTCTCATTGATCTAATGAAGGAGTGGATGGAGCCTTGGATACGTTTCCATACGCGAGAGAGTGTAATCAACATAAGAAAGAAATAGCTAGAGCGGTTATGCATCAGTGGGGAAAGAACGGCTGACCACGTATCACGTGCTGGGTGGCAAGAATCGCTTCATTTGTACGGGAATTAATACGTTTTCTTACGAATTTGTTCAAACAATCAATTATAACAAATAATGAAAACTATATTTTTACAGTTTACATTAAAATAATGTGTAATGTGAAACAACAACAATTCCACCCTCGGGAACGATTCATTTAGTTAACGAGTCAAGTCCGGTCAATGTTGAGAGAATCCAGTCAAGTTGCGCCGGAATTATTTTGCGCTGATTTTAATTCTCGATCAACATAACACTGGTGTCGGAAGTGAGATTCCAGGTTAATAATTGATCTACGGGCAAATTGGATAAGAATTCTGAAGTTTGATGCCTGTTGAAACTAAAGCTCAAGCTGCGGACATGGAGGAACAAGTAAAGCAAATCATGGCTATGCTCACGCAAATGTACGAAAGAAATAAAACAATGGACGAGAAAATAGAGGCAAGAAACAAAGAAATGGTTGAAAAAATGGACGCAAGATACCTTTGTATCTTGCGTCACAAGAACACACATTTGCAAGTTATGCAAAATGTTCTCCGAGAAAGTGTGGTCTTAATGGACCAAAAGGTGAAAGATGAAGTCGATCATCAGCTAAAGAGTGAATTCGAGATCTCAGTCCAAGAATGTATGGTAGATCAAATGAAAACTATGGAAGATAGAATGTTGAGTAAAATGAAGAAATTTGAAAAAATAATAAAGAATGCAACAACGACTGGTTCATATAATGTGACGTCGGCCCTTAGAAAAATTCAGACACCCACCTATAATGGTCAAACGCCTTGGTAATCTAATCACTAATCATTAAAGAGATGCAGTTTTAGGCCAGGCGCCTCCCACCACTTTCCGTCAGCAGCGTCCGCTGTTATTGCTTCGCTTCGCCCGTCGGTGCACGGTGAAAAGTATTATTGCATTTCAAGTCGTTGTTTGTTTTTTCGTAACAAGAAACGTCGTTTATTTTAAGAAAAGTGTTCGTTAAAGTGAATTTAGTTAAGCATTGCGAAAGTTTCTTATTAATTTTGATCTGCCATTCTATTTACGTATATTCACTTTGTTGGTTTCGACAAAACCTCAAACTTTACCGTTATTCGAGGATTTAATTTGAAATTTTCAATATTTTAAAATTCTCAAGACAAAATTTACAGATTTGAATGACGGTGAAAATAATTCTGTGTCGTTTTATGCCGAGAAGACGACAAGCTGACATACGTCCACGAAGTCAATCAAATGTGCGACGAACTACCTCAGGTGCAAATTGCAATGATTTATTTCATGGGTAATTCGGATACGGAAGTTGATCAGCGTTGTGCTCATAATCAACGTAATAGTCAAACATTGAAGCGAGACATTGGGTGGTATGAATAAAACTGAGTAGATACTCATATTCGAAGTACGAAGTACCTACTTGCAAACATTGTATCTCCCCGGACACAAATTGAACATCTACCCGTTTTGTGAGCATTTAATCTAAAAATGAGTATCGGTGTGGCAAATGACTATTTGTCCTTATAAATAATAAATTTAATGTAATATATTTTTGTTTCCTTAAGAATACAAAGTTAACAAAGTTAGTTGAGTTACAAAAGTCTCTTTTGCTCCACGTTGGCCACCAACGAGCGATTTTCAAGATTTTTGTGAAACTTTGCTGGTTTTGAATTTGAATTTTCTGTCCTCGATAGTTGATGCTCAGCAAGAACCACGGGAGGGTGTGGAGCAGATCTCGCTAGGAAAGGAGAGGGCTAGGATTTGTTAAAGAGGGATAGAACGTTATACAGTACAATACAATGGAAATACAATACAGGTACCTACAATCTAACTAAGGTATGCGAACTTAAAATCGGGACTATAATTAATTTCAACAATTTTTGTTTAAAGAAGCAATTTGCTTAGTGCTGTATTAAATATGACGTTTAGATTGTGATGATGATAATTTATTTTTAACCAAAACTGTCATATTAGCAATTACCCCACTAAAAGAACTTGAAAAAAGAAAATTAATAAATTTAGTGTATGACACGCAGCCAAAGATTACTCCATATTTGGTGGTTAAGGGATTAAAAAATCATGTAATTGGGAAAACCACCGTGTATAGAGTTTGGGAAACATTCGATGGAGATGGTGGAATAGAAAGGAAAGAAGAGTCTGGAAAAAAAAAGAAGAAAATTAACGGAAGGAGAAATTCGGAAGATTGTTAAACTTTCAAAGAAAAATAGGGGGACTGCATCGAAATTAGCAAGAAAATACCATGTGTCGGATCGGCATATATCGAAAATATTAAAACAAAAAAGAATTAACCGTCATACTAAAATAGATGCATGGAAATCGACACCTGAACGACAAGAACGTCAAAGAGCCAGACTAAATGTCCTATTTTCTGGCGATTTCAAACTCAGTGGCAAAAAAGACATCATTTATGATTTTTCTTTCCAAAATGACAAAGCGTCTTCAAGTAAACATTATTTGGTCATATTTAAAAATAAAGTACTTATATTGCGAAGAAAACTTGCCAGATTCGACATTTAGGCAATTGGAGCAGCGAATAAAAAAGAAAATCAAGGAATTTGACGAAAAATACTTCAAGCGATTGCTGTGGAACAACCGCAAGAAAATTAATGAAGTGGCTGTTAATGGAACATCGAGAGTTATTAAGAAATAAGTTTATAAGGTTATTGTTACACTATTGTTTTTCGTTTGAATAGTAAATACGT